AGGACCATCGAAAATCAATGGGAAAGATGCATGCTACTTAAGTAGTCATTTTTTTACCGAGCAGGCTTTCTACAGGAGATTGAAAAGAATTGTATTGAAAAGCCGACATCCTGCCGAGTCCAAAATGTTATAAGAGTATGCCGCAAGATAGTCAGTATTACAACCGCGACCAAGTAATCCTTCCTAATCAAAAACGCATTTCAGAATTTAAGCCAGCATTTCATGAGATAGGTCACTCACTGTAGATTAACAGCAGATGTTGCATGCCTTATAGAACGCGCAAGATACCTGGGCAAAATTCACCTCTTTTGCGGCCTTTCAGCGCAGTTTCATAAGCGAATGGTCTGCATTCCTGAACAGAATTCTTTATATTGGGTTGTTTTCTATTATATTAATTTTAAAAAATATGCGTGTCCTCTGGCACGACGACTGCTCAGATTGCGGATTATGCCAGATGTATAGCAATTAATTTTGTAAGCGCTCTAATTAAACACTGGAAATCCATTTGCGAATCAAACCCTTCGTAACTGCCTCACGCAGTTAAACAAAATCAGCGAAACCTGTGTGCTCGTATGAGTGTCACGAGTATGGTAAAATAAAAAGAAATGATATGCTGCTGGCAGCAAAGGGCATTTGCCCGCCAAAAGACCTAACAAACTCTACAATAGTTTTGTTCCACCACTAGGTTTCCTGTTAATTTGAGCATATAAATACGGTTCGTCTTTCTTAATATTCAGTAAAGAATGTGGAAAATAGCAAAGTACTGATTGGTATTTCAAGGAGGCTTTTCATGTTTAAGTGACTTACAGACTTCAGTCTTCACCGGAAAGAACTCCGTAGTGCTGAATATATGAGTAAAGGCCTTAAAGAGTCGTCTTATTTTGAAAAGACGGCTTTTGCGATCTACAGTGCGTGAGCGATTGCATGAAATGTTGGTCAAAATTCTGAAATGCATTTCCGATTACGAAGGATTACTTAAGTGGGGTTGATATACTGACTAATTTGCAGCACAACCCTATTCCATTTCGGACTTGGCAGGATGTCGGCTTTTCAATTCATTTCTTTTTGACCTCCTGTAGAAACCATACTCGGTGAAAAATTACTACTTACGCAGCATGCATTTTCTCCTATAGATTTTTGAGAGTCTTATAAATTCTAATATATTTTACAGGAAACATGCAAAAAATATGCTTTATTCTGCTTACTTGGTGGGAAGTCACATTGTATTCGTATTTTATGCCCGAAGAAAGTGCGTATTTTGGTTTTACAAAAGTTTCTAATTATTGAGATTTTTAAGACCGTGCGATGTCCATGCATGCAAGACAGCACATGTCCGTTTACTAATGCTCCTCATGAAATGTACAACACAATCCGGATCCATTACAAAATTTCATGAACTCTACGTGGTATCTTCTTAGAGTTATGGAGGAATATATGATTTTCCCTACGCGGGACGCATGCACCTTGTAGACTGAAATCCCTAGGCGCTGATGCAATGGCAAATCAGGCTGAAAATCATTCGGGAATTGGGAAACTTTATTAAAACCAAAACACACGCCTTCTTCGTTCATAAAACGTAGATACAATGTGATTTCTTACCAAATAAGCAAGATAAAGTATATTTTACAAAAGTTTTCAGTAAAATATATTTGAATTTATAAGACTATTGATAATCACTAGGAAAATTGTATGCTACTTAAGTAGTCATTTTTTTACCAAGTGTGGTTTCTGCAGGATGTCAAAAATAAGTGCATTAAAAGCCGACACCCCGGCGAGTCCGAAATGCTATAAGGTCATGCTGAATGATAATCAGTATAGCAACCCAACTTAAGTAATCCTTCCTGATCGGAAACACATTTCAGAATTTTGACTAATATTTCTTGAGATCGGTCACGCACTGTAGATCGCAAAAGCCGTCTTTTCGGGCAGTTAGCTGAGAACGCCAAAGACCGCGAAGTATTTACAGTCATTTCGTGACCGCACTGAGACTGAACGGACTCCGCCGACGCCGCAGTTTTACGGACGGGATATTCCTCTGACACAGAAAAGTTGCTTATGAAATAAACCTGCAACCAAATTCCTACAAGTTGACTGAACGCCCCAGAGTGTAGTATGCTTATTCGTTGGGCGCATTCTGCCCGATGGTTACTCATATAATCAGTCATTTTTGATGTATATACTATATATTGCCCAAATTGTGTTTTCTTACCTAAAGCAAATTTCCGTGCATTTGACTTTCCCGATTTTAGTTACAAGTTTTTATTCTTAACTAACGCACAATTACTTTAACGACTGTCTATGCTTTACTTTAACCACTGACCACTTATCGTTAAGGCGGATGTTTTCATTAATATGTATATATACTGATCGTAATTAGTTCAATAGTTTTCTGTGGATATTCGTTTACTGCCTACACAGTACGCGATAAAAGCCGCAAGACGTTAACTCTTACTTAGTAAGAGCTATTATAGCAAGGTTAAGGCACTGATTAGCGATCTAATAGGAACAACTGGAAGGATAGCAGACAGATATGAAAGTATATGCGAAATAGTAATATCTAAATGAGGAAGCGTCTTCTGTCAAGGGAAGAGTTTAACTAGTCTGTAGCCTACTATATTCCGAGTATAAATCAAACATTTTCTATTCAGATTTTCCAAAATCCATAGGTATATTCATAGAGGCATCAAAGATAATCAGAAGAAGATACGAAATAAGTAGTATGCCGAGTGTGCTTTTGTGCCCGACTGCAAAGACCATCTCCCTAGTGGAAGATCATGGCCTGTGTGCAAACACTTGAGCCTAGGTCATAGATCCAGTATGCGGTCTATCGTAAGAAAACTGATGACAGAAACGAATATGAGAATTTTCGGACGGCGTAAATTTTGTGCATTTTACTCAATCACCGAGCTCCTTCAATCAAGCGCTCCTTTCCTCGTGCCGATTATGCGTCGGAGAAATTCAATCAAGCAAAGCGTTAACCAGTTTTGTCAAAACGGACACAGCAATTTATTGGGGCGATTTTCTGTGTTGAAACCTGTCCTAGACCTCGATTACGCATCTGAGTTTGTTTTACTTTGAGAAAAGAGTAGTTTGTCCTAGATAGTTCTACAACTGAGGGCTAACTGCACTTTAAAATCCGTTTTCTATCCGATGATAGGCATAGGAATTAGTTTGCTAACAGACGGGTTATTTTAAAAGAACTAGACGTTTTATCGATTTTCGAACGTCAGACTAACAAATTCGTGCAATTTCAGACCGTAAGGCTTAGTGATAACGCACGTAGGCGATCCTACGTTTGACTGAGTCAAACCATTTTGCAATCTGGAAAATTATATGATTTGATACCAAATTAACTATCCTCGAATAGACATTTTCATTTTCAAATATATGGGATATTATTTTCTTGCGGTCTGATTTCTGCAGAAAACGATGGGCTCTGGCTTCTGTATGCATTTAGTTTAGAACTAAAGCAAGCAGAAAATAAACAGTTAACAAACTAGCGATATTTATATGTTCACTCCACCACACATTCATAATCTTAGAACGGAGTCTAACAGTGAGCAATGATAGGAAAAGGGCCAAAATACAAAGGTGAAAGCAAGTATATACGTTTACGGTAGAAAAATGTTGGTATTTTGGCGATGTAAAAGAACCAGTAAAGTGTCATATTTTTCTTGGTTTCACTAATTAGAAATGTAAAGTAAACAGACGCCCCTCAACAAGATAGAATGTTAAAACACCCTTCTAAAAGATAACATACTAGAGAAAGTTTTTGGGCGATCGAATCATATTAGTTGTTGACATTTGTTGTAGATGTTGCTTTTACTCAACGATGAGGTTCCATTTATGGACAAACCTTCACATGTGGCCCAGATGATTAGTTACATGGAAAAGAACGCCCAAACGCTCTTTTCCTCGGCAAATGCTTACAAGGAGTATCGTAACATAAGAGTTACAGTGAACACATAGCAAATAATCTGTCTTTATAGCCAATCGATTAAAAATATTGAAGATCATAAGGTATTCAGCGACATTTCAAAGCCGATCTATAACTCGAAGTACTCCAATAAGAGCGAACGTGAAAATTAATGTAACGGAAGAAACGTTCTCGTTCCATACGCACAATGATGTGTTTATGATCGTTCGTGTCAATTCTGCTTAAATTTATTAATCACTGATCGGACTATCAGCATATGCCGTTAAGCAAACCTTTATTCCTGACGTCCCTACCGGCAATATAAAGCAATATGCTGAAAAAGAGTAAAACAATACAGTAAGTTCACAGGAAATCGTTTTGGAGTCCTCTCTCAGAGTGTAGACTTCTATCAAACCGCCATATCTGACCTCAAACAAATTCTTGGAAGGTAGTTTAACGAAAACCTAGCTAAAAGATTGTTTTTTAATGCCATTCAATTTTTGCTATTACACTTGTATGGGCAGGTCTTCTGCTCATTAAAAACTGAAGTTTACACAGTTAGGAACCGCTATGACCTTCCCATACTTTCTGCTCCTTTCTAAAAACTTGGTATTTCGGAAAGATTTAATATTACCCTTATTATTTATAATATGTTTTCAATTTCTTTGAAGTTATTCTTTGTTAATATAGAGATGTGGTCCATGCCTTGGCGTTGGTCTGCGAGTTATTAACAATCATTCGTAAATTTTGGTATTTTTTATCAGTTTGGTTACCCAATGTGTCTTTTCCATTGGAAAGCAGGCTTCGTAATATCAGTTGATTTTCCATGAGTTTGACGATCCCCTGTGCATGCGGCTTAACTAGACACTTTAGGTGGGATAACACGGTTAACACATAGTCGTCTTTATATTAGAATGTGATTGATATCAATCATATAAAACCATGTACGATCTCAAAACCTCTTTCAAAAGTACATGACAAATAAGTAGGTTTTCGTATGGTGGTCAGTTTAAACTTAAAAATATCAAAATATCACTGTAGAACGCAATGCAGCCTGAGGTAGAACAATAAGAATGCTTTCAACTTATGGAAGAAATCTCTCAAGCGATTTGTCCTCAATGCAATGTTCCCTACGATCAATCGCTTCAAACCGATAGTGGTGCACAATTGCGATTTCGGAATGACCAGGTCTCATATTGAGGGCCGTCAGCGTAGACTCTTCGTAGGGTTTACTGATGTGGTGGATGCCCATCTCAAAAATCCACAAAGGTCGCACCAGACATTTCCTGCGCACAGTGTCCAACTTCTCAACACGCCGCGTATAGCGTCTATGGAAGGGCCGTTCAAAGTTCCGGGCCGGTGCAGTGGTAGGGAAGATGGCCGAGTTAAAACAGTATCCTGGGCTGGGGAGGATCAGAGAGGACGCATTCCAGAGGTAATCTGTCAGAGTACTCCAGTTTTTGGCCGAGGGGCTTACGGGCACCAGGATCTCGTCAAGATCACCAAAGAAGACAAACTCTACATCCTGCATACTGCGATAGAGACAGTCGTTAACGGTGATGATCTGGAAGTAGTACCAGGAGAGCTTACTGGCTATCTCCGGATGATTCGGCCACATTAGAGGAATCA